ACACACACACACACACACCGAGACACACACTCACACATACACACATACACACACACACACACACACACACACACACACACACACACACATACACACACATTGCCGCCATAGCACAAAAATTAAACAAAAACAATTAAAATGACCAACCCCTCCCCCCAAAAAAACAACAAAAAAACAAACACAAAACAATGTTACAACCAAAGTGGTAATATTTAGTACCAGTACAAGAGTTCGTGACAGAGATGTCAGTGTCTCCCACGTAAATGAACAGGGGCTGCGTGTGCCTTCCATGAGACGCCGAACGTAAAGGGCAAGACATACGCAGTCCAACAGATGGGTGAGTAGTTTTCGAGACGCATGAGGAGACGTCTCATCGGTCTTAGGAGGAAATCTACAACCTTGCACTGTGGGGGCAGGACGGTGTTTTGTGTACTAGAGATTATGGGGAACAGGGCGGTGTTTTATATTATATGTATATGTAAATGGCGGAGAGCCGACCATGCCGATTAAGGTAACAATGCCCTCATGTCTGACACATGTCGCGTCCCCAGTGCTTTCTTGTCGTATCTCCATTTTTAATGACTGACAGTGAAAACAGCTTGTAATAAAGAGTGAGCTTAAGAAGATGTCACATTTTCACTGTTTAAAAATGGAGATACGACAAGAAAGCACTGAGGTCGCGATGTGAAGTCACTGGCGCGAGATCTTTTATTATATTGTTTGATCAAAACAAACAAAACTATAACAAATCAAAACAAAAACAAAAGAACTAACAAACAAACAAACAAACGAAAAATCGCCTAGCACCTGAGAGGATAGTTGATGTAGGTGGCCACCCCGTAGCCCTTGTTGTCCAGTGGCTCTCCGACCATCATGGTATCACATGGCTCCTGCTGACCGTAGTACGTGTTCATCGCAGACTCCAAGAGAAAGGCGTATTGGCCCTTGGATTCCCGCACCTGTGCAAGACGAGTCAGTCACCCAACCTACCAATAATTAACCATTCTTGTAATAGATAACTCGCTCAATAGACCAGTCAATAAACCACTCAACTATTTGAGCACCAGTTAATCAATAAATGAACATGTCAACATTTAATTAAATAATGTTAATCATTATAATAATCAACCGTCAATCTCAGAAAGGACAAAGAGCATGTGGGCAATAAATACAGCGATCAGTGAATGGCCTGGGAATTTGAAGGTCTTCGCTTCAAGGGTTTTTGTTTTTGTTTTGTAAAGTGTTGTACGGCGCTCGCATAAGGTCATATGAGCGCGCGGGACACACCGAATATTTTCAGTTGGTAGGAACTTTTGAATTTTGCCCGGGTGGCGGCCCAAGCCTACTCTTATCGATTTTAGACCACCAAAGGATCTTTAACGTGCTCAACTTGCACACGGGCCCTCCGAGATTTTTCGCCCTTGTCCGAGAAGGATAGGTGTAGATCTTTCCTACCAGAAGATCTGGGGTGTGGCTGAAAGACAGCAGTAGGGAGAAGCGAAGGAGTAGCAGTAGAAAGGCTGCAGAAAGAATCGGGAGCCCAGAGGAAGGGGCAAAGGAGGTGAGGGGGTGGGGGCAGAAGGAGGAGACGAAAGCAGACGACAGAGCATTGCTTGAGAGCAGGAAATGAGGCGAAAAGAGACAAATTTAGAGAAGAAAATGTTTCTGTCGCTACCCGGATTCGAACCCGGGACTTTTTGAATGAGAGGCCAACACCTTAACCTCTAGGCCACGAGACCACCCCTTCAAGGGTTTAAACAACACGAATCACTTGACAACGATCTGGTTTTGGAAAGGGGTGCATTGAGGGAAGGAGGGCGGTGGAGTGGGTGGGTAATTAGTAAACAACAGGCATACCAGTTGGGGCTGAGTGAACTCTTGCATGATCAGATCAGATCTGATCTGATAAGATAAGATGAGAAGAGAGAAGATAATGCAAGACAAGATAAGATACATTCTTATTGTCCAGGAATTGGCACATAATAGACTTACAAAAACCCAAAACAAGCAAATAAACCTTAAAAAACAAAACAAAACCAAAACAACAAATAACTTCAACCTTACCTTCATCTCCTCAAAAAGAACTGTTCAAAACAACAAACACCCCCCCCGAAAAAAACAACAACACCCAGCCACTAACATCCCATTAATTATTTGTTTTGAACCCCCCCCCCCCCCACCCCCCAGTTAGGCTGTACCACGAAAAGCCATGTGTTAACCATATCTAGTTGCTTGTGGCCGCATGTAGTGCTGAATTTTTCGTCATCTTCCTACATGTATCAGCACCGTTATATTCAACGTGGAGTCACTCTGCGTGTTTAATGTGGGCCATTAATTCCAACCTGTTTCCCAGCACCTTTGGGGACAAAAGTTGGGGGAAAGGTGGGGGGGGGGGGGGGAGCGTTTTCATCACGTCACCAAGACATTTGTTTACAAAGGACACGCTTTCATATTAGCGTTAAAGTGTCTAGTGAGAATATTAGCAAACGCTTGTTCTAATAAGCCTCACCTTTCTTACGCCGTCAGGATATTCACTGAATAAAACTTCGTCTGCGTTTTCCAGCATTTCTTTTTTCATTTTCAAGAAGGTCTCCATTTTAGCTTCCTGTTCAAATAGGAGAAGGAGTTATTGTTAAAAGTGAATTGCGCCAGGTTTTTCCACTACATGAGTTGAGTGCATACTTTTGTTGAATTAATTGACTTGACAGACATTGTCCTGTCCATTCAGACTGATGTCAACAAATGACTATCTCAGAATTACAAAATTTTATCTTACACATTTGGTCGTTTTATGTTACTAATACCATGAGGTAAGTCATCTAAATGTTCTATTTGCTCTATCAAAATCGTAAGATTATTTGGAGTCGTTATCAAGATATTCAAAGAATGCATTTGAAAAAACTAGACATGTTGTGAAACTCATTTTCTCAAAACTAGGTGCTAGGCAGATAGAACTTTGTAATCTTAAGGTAGCGTAATGACAAGAAACACATATCCACCCTAATTTTCAAAGCTGATTTATCATGTTATGACAAATAAACCCTAAATTTAATGACATCCTTTTTAAGTCAGTAGATTCATGTTCAGTACAATGTTATGTAAATGTCTATGTATCCATTTATGTATTTTGTGAATTGCAGTGTATATATTATTTTATTCTCATTTCGTGACGATGTGTAATCGTGTGCGTGTGATAAGCAAGTAGATGTGTGTGTGTGTGTGTGTGTGTGTGTGTGTACGTGTGTGTGTGTGTGTGTGTGTGTGTGTGTGAGTGTGTGTTTGTGTGTGTTTGGCATACATGTGTGCGTGTTATGTATTCGTGAGTGTGTATGCGTGTGTTTGTGTGTGTGTATATGTATATGTGTGTGTGTTTGTGTGTATATGAGTGTGTGTGTGTGTGAGTGTGTGTGTGTGTCGCGTGCATGAATATTTTTCTTACATGCATTTATGTAAAGCGCCTAGAGCTGTGTTTACACGGGAGTGGGCGCTATAGAAATGATCTTCATTATTATTATTATAACATTTTTGTTTTCATGACAAAAATAACATGCAGGTTACGTGTCACAACCTGAACATTTCAACCTCAGTTAATTAAAGTAAAATGTATGAGTTAACCAACAAAATCACTTAACGACAATTGAGGTCAGTTTGTTGTAACACAATCATGAAAGTATCGTCGGTATAATAAATGTGGTGATAGACGTCCCGAATCTGCCTCTAGGCATTTCTAAGATGATATATGCAGGAACTTGTTTTAATACATTATAATGAAATTATATTAACTTTCCAGTCTTCGCACCCACATTGCGACCAATACGTAAACACATTCAAAATACCTTAGAATATATGGCATACAAATGATAATGGTTTCAGATCTGAAGACAGATTTACGTATACTAACACACAAAACCCAACAACGTGCCCACAAACAAGTTCTACACGTATTTACATAGTAATTCACAAGGGCCTTCTCACGCAATAATTGTCACCCTTCCTCTATTAAAAGAAAGTGAATGAGTAACCGGCACTAAAAGAAACAAAGCTAACCTTGAAAAATCTCCAAGACGTTCCAGAATTCTTGGTGCCATATTTGATGGTCGGGTGACCCACAAGATCATCTGCTGAGTCAATGCTGACCACTAGCTTCTCAATCGTAAGAAAGGCAGCCAAGTTTGCCGTGTAGGACGAGATGATGATGAGTGTAAAGAACCACCAGGCTGAGCCAATCACGCGCCCCGAGAAAGATCTAAGGGTAAGCAACACTGAAAATATCAACTGAAGAAATGCATTGAGCGGATTGCTTCCCTGGAATGTGTTGTGGTTTAGCGTCTCGGTGAGTGTGAGTCGAGCACTTCTGGT